GGCTGTCTGGGTCAAGGTTTAGAAATGTCATAAAACCGGGAAGGTGGAGATCCTTTCCTTATTAGGATGTTCCCGGCACCATTTTCCCATGTACAGTAATGTCGGTGGCATCCAAAGGTCAGTGCACTCCTACTGTGCATTTTGTGCAAGCAGAGATGGAAGGAAAATAAAAACAAACCCTGCTCCATCCCACCCGCAACACGGACATTTGGGAGAAATGAACATAGGAAAGGGACCGATTCCCATCCACCCCCCTCCTCAGATTGCTGTGTGCTCTGGCGCATAGATGACATTGTTTATATGGGATGGGAACGTGTAGCACCACTTTGGGATAATGCCGACTTTAGATTTCTTACATGTTCTCATTCACGTAATGCAAACACATTGCTGCTTACATTTTTATTTGTTGAAAAATCTTTGAAAAACCCGGTCGTGACTCTTCCTTTCTGTAGGAGAAGGCTGTGGAGTCACGTCTGCCATCATTAAAGTGATATTAAAGTCAAAAGCTGATTAAATCACTTACAATGGACGCCGCTCTGTGATGTTTTAAAGTTTTACAGGGTTATTCACAAAAGGGTGAAGAGTTTGGAGAAGGCAGGATTGAACAATCTAGGACAACATAGCTGAACTGGAAAATTCCTCCCATTCAGCTCACTTTCCAGTTAAAAGAGAACTATGGGGTAAGTGTTTGTTTTTCCCCATAGTTCTCTTAAGGGTCACGGGAGGACATATACTAGCGTCCTCCCTTCACCTTAAGCTCAGTATATCACTGAGATCGGCGCAGCCGGGATGGATCCCAACATTACTGTCGAGATCCACCCAGCTGCGTGAATGACAGCTGGTTCTGCCTAGAGGCAGAGCCAGCTGTACCCGCCCCCTCCCCCGTCCGTTCCGCCAGTCAGTGCTGGGGAATCGGAGCGGGGAGGGGGGAATCCCTGCAGAGAGCTGTGAGTGACAGTCAGCGCTCTCTGCAGGGAGATGATCGAGAAGTGAGCGATGGTATGTGTTCTCTCACGTCCCGATCTATTGAGCCGACCTGTGACCGTTTCATTGTCACAGGTCGGCTTGAACTATGAGGATGAGTGATTTTCACTCACTGCATAGTTTTCCTTTAAGTAATGTTGTCCTACATTGTTCACTTCTCCAAACTCTTCACCCTTTAATGAATAACCCTGTTAGTTTCCTGCAGACTCAGCTGGTCCCCTGAGCACTGGCACTGATATCCTGTTTTAGGGTTGCTCCTTTCCCTTGCAGGGTCCCATGGAGCCATCATTGTGTGTGCTAGTAAGCCGTGTGTGTCTCCACAGATACAGCAAGGCAATCTGATTCTCTGCTCCCCCTCCTCACTTCTCCAAGCTAGTAGATGAATAGTTGCTGGCGTCTGCTCTGTCTCTTGTGAACGTTTGTACAGGGCAGGAAGTTCAGGGAAGCTGAGCTGAGAGAGTTGGAGCCAGCTATTCGGGGGGGAAATGATAATTGTTAGTGCTTGGGCAAAAATGTAAAGAAATACGTGTTTGATCTGGATTCATTATTGAAACAAGTTTGATAATTTAATATTCAACCCTTTCTGTACCATTGTGTCTGATTCTATTATCAGAGATATATGTCTGTCCCTTAAAGCGGTAGTAAACCACCAACATGAACATGCTTCTAGTGGGTCCCCAGAAGGTGTCTCCCATAACATGTAGTATGCACAGCATATGGGCACATTAGGGGCGACTTACCTTGCATGCAATCCTCTCCAGCGCTGCGATGTGAGCAGCACTCTTCTCCTCTACCAGCGTCTTGGTCTTTTAACTCCCATGCGTGCGCACAGCAGTTAGTTCATTTTGTCACAGGACCTTGCCAAGCTTGTGCACCGAGATGCGCATGTGCACACCAGTGCACACAAATGCTGACAGGCAGGAAGAAGCATTTATGACGGAAGAGACATACAAAGAGGGGATTTTAGCAAAACTGGAGCAGTTGTCCATAGTAACCAATCAACTGCTCTCATTTTCAAAACTAAACTGAAGAGAGGCGCTGATTGGTTACTATGGGCAACTACTTCAGATTCTGCTCTCTTCTGTTCTAGTTAACCTACCCCTCCTCAGCTTTTTTGTCTTATTTTACCCTTACTTCCACTGGGTTAAAGCCAATCTCCAGGCAATTAAAAAAACATAGCCTTGCAGTGGGGCCACTCCAGCAATGCAAGGGTTATGTGTTTATTTTTGTCTAGGGGAGTGGCGTAAAGCAGACTTACTTACCTGATCCCCGCTCCCGCCAACTCCCTCAGGGCTGCTAGACCAGTCCCCACAGCCTCTTCTCCCCTGGGCTCCAGTGGTCTAATGGTCCATGACCTGATCACATCTCATGCAGGTTCCATAGACCTGCATAAAGGTGCCCGTACACTGTACGAGAATCGCGGGAAATCCCGCGATCGTAGGATAATCGCAAAGTGTAAGTACGTTTTTGTAAAAATTACTTTACAACCCTCGCAAGACTAAAGTCTTGCAAAGGTTGTAAAGTGTATGGGCACCTTTTAGATGTGAGGACACCAAGGGACAATCCACCAGCCGGAGTTGGGGGGGGGGGCAGAAGAATCCAGTGCTGAGCTGGGCTCAGCTAAGTCTACTGTACTCCAGCCCCTAGACAAGAATGACACCCTAAGGGTAACCCTACTGCAAGAGAATTTCTTTTTTTTGGCCCAGAGATGTGCTTTAAGCTATCAAGGGGATGGGTGGTACTGCAAGCAAAAAAAAAAGTGTATTGTTTAGCAAGTTATTCTGAAGAGAAGACGCTGCCTACAGAGTGCTGTGTGCAATCCGGCTCCAAAGAAACAACCAGAAAGGTAAGAAATGTATATTTTTAGCTATGTTGCATGAATGGGAACACATAAACATCTAGAGGGGAGCTTCTGAAATGTGGCTTCCGAGGTGGAAATGTTTGTGTTTGTAGGGAGAGTGCTCAGAATCCCAATACAGAAATGCAGTACTGCCGTAGATCAATACCAGCACCCAGTAGCCGCACACTCACGTACAGTGCCCAGGACTTTCTGCTTTGATACCTGACCGCATGTTTTCAGCTTTCACTATGTGCCAAGGATGTTGGTATCAGAAGTTCATTAGAAGAACATCCCTGTGTTGTGTTTGTTGTTTTTACTGATCAGTCGTAGATTGCATTGTGGGCGCAGGATTCCTAGAAGTAGAGAAGTGTGCATCCTCATTCAGCACCGTATTTATCTTCAGTGTTTGTCTTAGTGGAACGGAACTCCCGGCCACAATGCCATGCCGGCTGTGTGTTTTTCTAAAAGTGGCCGCTGTCTTGGTTTTGAGGGAGCCCGGCTCTGGAGAAATGATTGTTCAGTGTATTTTAGCGATGACTTTGTTTTGATCATAATAGGACAGATTGTCTCTAGCATTCCCTTTTATAGAATTCATACAAGACTTCTATGCACGGTGCTATTCAGCTTGGGTTTTGTCCTGCAGCCATGAATAGGATGTTTCCTCTACGGCAAATATGTACACACAGCGCCTGCTGGATACGGCGCTAAAAATAGGCTCTCAAAGTATTGTCTATACGCTTTTCCATTTTCTGGGGGTTTTGGATTTGAATGGCGATTTGTGTCCATTACTTTAGTCTTCTGTGATGGTGAGAGCTCCGTGCTACTGAACCATTTGGATGTGGACAATACGTGAGATGTTCATGTCTGCTGCTGTGCGTGATGTCTGTGGTTAAACAACATCTTCAGAGATAAAGCATATGTGCTTAATGGTTTGTTTAATCCAGCCTAGGAAGAAATGATTTCCAATAGCTGAAATCGGAAGCCAAAATTTAAACAAGAACTCTAGGCAAAACATTTATTAACCCTTGCAGTGGGGCTATCACCGCAGTGCAAAAGGGTTAACTGCTCGTTTTGGTCTAGGCAGAAAAAGAACAAAGTTATACTCACCTGAACCTCGGAGCCAGCTGGTTGTCACAGCGCTCACACCAGTCTGTCTCTTCCGACGCTGCAGCGATGGTATGTCCCTTCTCACATCCTATACACTGTGTATAGAACGTGATGACTCGGATGATGACTGCAGCGGAGGAGGAGAGAGGCTCCAGGGACCGGTCTAAGAGCAAGTCAGCTCAGAGGATCGGGCGAGCATAACTTTTTTCATTTACATTTTTCTAAATTTTCCTCCCTAAACCAAAATGAGCAATTAACCCTTGTGATGCGGGGGTAGCCCCACTGCGGGGGTTAATAAAAGTTTTGCCTGACGTCTTTAACCACTTGCTGACCGAGGTGTTTACACCCCCTTCCTGGCCAGGCCATTTTCCAATATTCAGCGCTGCAGTGCTTTGACTGACATTTATTCCGTCATGCAACGCTGTACTGAAATGAATTTTATACCATTTTTTAGGGACAGATAGAGCTTTCTTTTGGTGGTATTTAATCACTACTGGGGGGTTTTATTTTTTACTATTTAACAATATGTTAGGAAACATTTATTATTACCCGATTTTTTTTTTTTGGCAAAATATAAAAGACGGGCTCACGTCGGGTAAATAGACACCAAACGTGTGAAGCTTTAAAATTATGCACACCTGCGAAATTGCAAAAAAAAAACTACCACACCCAAAATTGACCATAGGCGATGCTTTAAAAGATTTTTTACCGCTCATCAGTTCAGTGTTATCAGTGATTGTTGGCCCTAAAATTATTGCCTTCACTGCGACGTTTGCGGCAATATGTAACAAGTGCTGCATAATTGGCGCAATAGTCGTTTTTGCACGTAGGCGCACTTAATGCATTTTTACGCATATGTGGGGGTGGGTGTGTGTGTACATTTTATTTTTCGACCAACTATTTTTTTTACACTTAACTTTATTGGTATCACATAGGGGGATAAGAATCCCCCTATGTTATATCAAATTACAGTGACAGGTCCTCTTTATGGGGACATCAGGGGTCTCTAAGACCCATAATGTCACCTAGGGACCCCCAGAAAAGCTGATGAAGCACAGATGTGCTTTACCACCTTCTCTCCGGTTTCTGTAGTAAACATCACTTCCTGCATTCGGAGACCGGGGGGAGCGCTGAGGGAGATCGTGTACTGAACTCCCTCCATTCTCACGGCACGGAGCTTCATCGCCCCCTCCCGGATCGGACGCACGGGATCGCGGGGACGGCGACCACGAGAAGAGGTAAGGAGGGGGGGGGGCGCACAGAGACATGCATCATACAAGCGATCAGGCGTCTTTATGCTTCTATGTAAACGGCCATCGCTGGCTGTTTCAAATTCTGGCGGTTTCCCATTTAAAGACGCCGCATCCAGAAGACTCCCGTCCGCCCATTTCTGAGAGTTCGGCGGACGGGAGGTGGTTAAGAAAGGGTTTTACTTTCAATATTTCTTTATTAAAGTCAAAGTTTGCAGACACAGCAAATTACATACGAAATGTGTTTAGCATAGACAACTTATGAATGTAGAAACATTAAGTATGCAAGTCAACAGTCAAGGCACAATAAGTTGTGTCATGACTGTTGACTGTTGTATCATAGTATATATTTTTGTTAGTGAGAAAGAGTGCAAGCGGGAAGGTAAGGAAAGAAGGGTGGAAAGAAAGGAGGAGAAGAAAAGAGGGGAAGCGTGGGATAAACCAGTTATGCAGTAGAGAGCAAGAGAAATCAGACAGTACAATAATTATGTACAATCCATTTTTTCCATGCGGAGTAGAACGTAGGGTAAAGAAAGGGTTTTAACCCGCGAGTCTTTTCTGCCCTCTGTGTCACATTGGAGAGATTTTCCTTCACTTCTTGTCGCTTAGCCAAAGCAGGATGTGAGGGGTATCCCTAATTGTCACCAGTGTCCCCATTGGAAGATTTCACCTCTATTGCTGTTCAGGTGACAACTCAAAATTTGGGATTTTCTTTCCCTTTCACTCTCGGTCACAATGATCACCGGGACAAATAGAGAGAGTGACTCTCCCTAGTGGGGACACAGAGAGAAATGAAAACCTGACAGGGGACCTAGTCTCTCTCAAATCTAAAGCAAAAGAAAAGTGTTTGCTTTATTTCTACTTTGAATATCAATTTGCACCAGAAGAAATAAAAAATATTGACTTTTTTGTATTGTGAACCTGTTAGTAACTTTTATAAGCCTGTGTAAATATGCAACTAACATGTCACACTAGCGGCAGCAGTATATATCTATATTTTTTTCTGTGCTTTTGATTAAGGGCCCATTCACATCAGCAAGCCGCGTTAAACGCGTGCGTGGGCACAAAACTATGGCTGAAGTGAGTGACAGCTGGCTCTGCCTATCTAGAGGCGGAGCCAGCTGTACCCGCCCCCTCACCTCATAGTTCTCCTTTAAGTTCTATTACCACTGCGCAGTATGATGTGGTTGTATTCTGTTGCACCATGCTGCATAAAAAAAAAAAATTCACGCTACTTTTTTCAGCACACACCACCTTCACGCAGTGGTGTGAACCGTGCCCATGTAAAACAAAGCAAATTGCTTTGTCTCTTTGTTGGGGCCTAGTGTGCATGGGCCCTAAAAAGCATCCCTTGTGCTTCAGACAAATGATGGTACCAAGGCTGACAGTCTGAGAGAATGACGTTATGGACAGCACAGTGGCGTAGCATGGTTGGCACTTCTGCCTTTGTAGCACTGAGGGCCCCGGTTTCAATCCTGGTCAGGACAATATCTGCAAGGAGTTTGCATGTTCTCCCTGTGCTTGTGTGGGTTTCCTCCAGGTACTCCGGTTTCCTCCCACACTACAAAGACATGCTGGTAGGTTAATTGGCCTTGTATGCTTGTACAATAGGGACCTTAGATTGTAAGTTCCTTGAGGGCAGGGATGTGAATGTGCACTATGTAAAGCCCTGCGTAAATTGTCGGCGCTATATAACTACCAGTGATAATTAAATGTGATCAGACAGGATAAAGCACTTCCTCAGTCTTCCTCCCCCCAGACTGTAACATTGGAACTCCAAATCAATTCATGAGGTAAAAGGAAGCAGTATGGTCGATGTTCTCTGTAAGATAATATGCTGCTGTACAGGAGACTCCAAGACCAGGGGCAGATGCTGACTTTGGATGACGCATTGCACTGGTCTTCTGGGCAGAAAGGTATATAAGGTATTGTCAGGGAAAGTACTCTGATGTCTTTGAGAGATCATGAATACCTGACATAATTTTTCACGTTCAGGAAATGCATTCATTTATGTCATGCTAGGTAAACTGTAAAGGGAAGTTGTTAACATGTTCACATTACTCTTACTGTACGCAGTTGCACATACTTGCCTCCCTTTAACTACCCCACTGCAACAGGGCAGCAGTTACATGAGCCCACTGCTTTGTAACAGGGTTGGGTGGCCATTAGTGTGGTGAAGGGGAGGAAGTTGGGTGTACTTTAGTGGAGGGTTGGGGGTTAAAGGTTTCAGGGAATGCCCATCAGGTTGAAAAAGGGGGGGGGGTTGGGGTGTTCATTAGCCTATGTGCCGGTGTTCGAAGGAATAGATACATTTTTATGCTAGACTCTTCCTTACTATGTTTTAACTGCTGACTTGGACTACCTTGGTGACTTTGCTGATCCTCTAGATCCTTGGTTCTCAACTGGTGGATCTTGACCCAAAAGCGGGTCGCGACTGCGTGTTCAGTGGTCACCGCATGCCTTCCACTTTCTAGGTGAGAGGCTCCTCAGCCTCCCCCTAGCGCAGCAATGTAATTTCTCACATCAATCAGCCATTCAAAATATGCTGCCCGGCGCCAAGTGTCAGCTTGAAGTGGGATGGGGGTATGTCTGCGAGTGCATTGCTTACAGCGCCCTCGCGTGCCCTGCGTGTACGTAGACCTGAGCGACGTCACATTCTGGCTCCCGGCACCTCTACAGGGCATGCAAGGGAGTTGTACAAGCAATGCTCATATGGATGGAGCTCCCACTTTTTGGCCTGGTGACCCAACACACTCTCTGGCTTTGCTCATAAGTCACATGACTTGGGGTAGAGGATGCCTGGCAGCAGCAAGCCAATTGAGGATCTCTGTTAAGTTGGGTGGGGGACACTGGCCTGTGGACTCGGTTTTGACATGGAAAAAAAATGAGGGTACAGCAAAGAGGAGAGTAGTACAACAGAGGACAGTAGAATTCGTGTCTTATTGATGGGCTGCATTAAAACAGGTTTGGAACCTTTGCTTCCTTTTCCAAGTTTTGTTTCTTGGAAGCCAAAGCTGAATACATATATTTAATAGTGAGAACCTTCAGAAAGAGGCACTTTGCTGGAGAAAATATGTTTTAACTGGCTGTTCCATTTGATGACTCTTGCTGTGCATGAGAAGCTTGTCTGGTATAATGATTTCTTCTGTCCATCTGCCTGTGTTTAGTTCAGCTGGACCCAACCTGTCAGTTGGGTGGGTCAGTCCCATGACTAAGCACTGGCCATCTGCTTCTCATTGACCATTTAGTTTCCAGACGGGGTGTCTAATGTAATGCAATCTTGGCATTTTTTTCTCAGAGATATTCTGAACCCTCTAGGCAATTCTAAATAGTAGATGAAATAGACCAGTTCTGTATTATATTCTAAAGAGCAAAAGGTCTTCAACAGATGCTTTGCCGTATACTTGGCTGCCATTTCAGACCAGAAAATACACTATTCTATACTGGGCTTGCCTATGTCAATAGACTGCAAAGCTAGAACATTCTGCATGCTGCCATTTTGGCACATTGGCCTGACGGAAGCCAATGGCATCTTTTTTTTCAGACACCAATTGTACTAAATTGCATGTCAATGTTTTATAGTAACGGGTACATAACTGATCATTTAAGGAAATTAGAATCGGAAGAGCCTTGTTGTCTTATTAGTGATGGTGGTGGGCTTCTTGACTTCTCCTGAAATTTCTAGATCAGGGCTAAGCAACCCCAGTTGTTGTAAAACTACAAGTCCGATGAGGCATTGCAGGACTCCCACATGCAAAAGCATGATGGGTTTGTAGTTTCACCACAGCTGGTGTGCCGAGGTTGCCTAGTCATGGTCTAGGTCAGTGGTGGCGAACCTTGGCACTCCAGCTGTGCCAAAACTACAAATCCCAAGATGCATCTGCCGCTGGGAGTTATGTCTGTGGCTGTCAGAACCTTGCAATGCCTCATGGGACTTGTAGTTCCAAAACAGCTGGAGTGCCAAGGTTTGCCATCACTGGTCTAGGTTAACCGTACCTCATCCTTCATCTTAATCATGGTCCGTTAATATAATGGATGTCATCTATGACAAGTAGGCTGTCTCTGGATATAAGAGGGGGTAATATGGCAAGCTTAACTTTTTTTTATTTTTTTTTTATCTGCCAATCGTCTGGATCCATTTTTGTTTTGACTTTCATCAGTTCTGTATCCCCTCCAATCCCCGCTGCTCCCAGAAGGGATCGGAGGGGCACAGACCCCTGCAATCAGTGCCCAGTGGTGACGAGAGCTCCCCCACTCCTAACCCCCCCCCCACACTGCTGCAACATAATCTCTCAGCAGCTCTCCTCCCCACTGGGAGCCGGTTGCATGCTGCTGTCTGTGTCCCTTCCGATGCCCCGCCTGTATCACCAGAGGCAGCGGGGATTAGAGGGGACACAGAGCCAATCCACCAGAGAGAGCAGTGAAAGGGCCAAGTCGGGTGCGGTGTGGAGAGGAGAGCTGCGGGACAATCAGCAAAATATATGAAATATATATATGAAATATATGCTGATCGTTCCCTGTAATATTCAAACAATGCAGTGACCAATACTGATCACTACGACATTTGTAAATAATTGAGGACATAGTATTGAGATACTGTATCCCCAATTATGAATGGATTGTGGACATAGTATCTGTTTTCTTATCGCCTTGATTTATGCATAAACAGGAAGCCTCTGTACTGAGAGTTTCCTGTTGAGTGCTGGGGCTGCAGAAAACGAGATTGAGGACTCAATCTTCTTTTTTTTTTTTTTTTTCAAAAGGGAAATATAAGGGGTCTGTTTTAGACCTGTGATATTTCCTCAAAGCCCCCCAACAGTAAAGTAAAAAATGAAATAATGTAAAAATAAATAAAGATCTATCTTATCTATCTTATCTATCTTATCTATCTTATCTATCTTATCTATCTTATCTATCTTATCTATCTTATCTA